CTTTCTTTCTTTCTTTCTTTCTTTCTTTCTTTCTTTCTTTCTTTCTTTCTTTCTGGTTTTTCGAGACAGGGTTTCTCTGTATAGCCCTGGCTGTCCTGGAACTCACTCTGTAGACCAGGCTGGCCTCAAACTCAGAAATCCACCTGCCTCTGCCTTCCAAGTGCTGGGATTAAAGACCTGCGCCACCACTGCCAGGCATTTCACTACTTTCTAATTTCAGCTTCATTGTGGCATTTGTTACAGGCTATCTCCAACTCTGCAACTCCAAGGAGACTTTGTCTCAAAATCAAACAAAACAACAGCAACCACAAAACCTAGGATTTTCCCCAGCACTTAGGAGGTGGATAGCAATAGTAACTCTAACTAGGACAGAAATCAAACCTGCCCGTTGAACCTCAGCCTTGGTTCACATTTCTAGGCAGGTTACTGATCTGTCCAGGTTTGAGAGCAGGGCAGAAGGGCCAGAGGCTGAAGGGGAAGAAAATAATGAAGCCAGAGGATTACACATTTCCAATTGGGAAGGGAAAAGGGTGGAGACGCAGACAGGCAGGCCACCATGCTAGCTAGCTGCTCTTGCTGCATAGAACAAGACCCGCACTCAGGCTTACTGGACAGGCCTGCTGCATCCAGAGCCATGATAGGCCCATTGTGTGGAACTAGGGTCCCTTGATGACTCATGATGGTACAACCCCCAAACCCTTCAGGTGGTCCCACGGATGCTCAGAGGCCACAAGGATCTCTGGGAACAGGTGTGAAGGCATTGCCCTAGTACCCCCATGTTTGTTTCCAGGGCCCTGTTCCTCTAGGCTGACTGAGGTGGGCGGATAATATGTTTGCTTGCCCAGTGTCTCCTGCTGAGTGAGACCTTCCCACTGTGAAGGCAGAGCTCACCTGGTACATGACTCCTGGCTCCACCAGTCTCCAAGGCAGAAGCACGAAGAGGTTCTGTTGTGATCTCTAAAACTGAGAGACATAAAGTCCCTCCAAGAAATAACAGACAAATCTCAAAACCTCCAGAAGCTGGGCTACATATCTGTAAAGTGGGGGGCGATAGTGCTCTCTTCAGTGGCTGTGAGGGTCAAATGATCAACGGAAACAGTACAGGGCTGGAGATGTAGTCCCTCATTTTGTAGAGTGCTTGCCTAGTATGCACAAACCACGGTTTAGTCCCCAGCACCGTATAAACTGGGTAGGGTGGTGCATGCCTCTAATCCCACTATTTGGGAGGTGAAAGAAGAGGTTCACAAATTCAAGGTCATCCTCAGTTCATAGTGAGTTTGAGATCTACTTGGGATACACAAGTCCCTACTCTCCTCAAAATGTTAAAAAAAAAAAAAAAGACAAAGGAAGAAAGAAACAATGTATTCAGCATGGCGGGTGCTGCCCTCAGAGATGGTGAGACTGGCTGTAGATCCTTCTTTGCTTCACCCAGCCACCAGGCAGCTGTCCTGCTAAATACTTGAGCAGCGAGTGCAGTATCCACGCCTTTTGCGTTGGTCAGCCCCTCTCCTGGGGGAGCAGCCTCAGCCATTAATGGCTCTAAGAACTGGCAGGAATCCTGAGAGTTATGACAGAAGTCAAGGATTCAAAGGGCCTGAGTGAAGGTCTCTTCTTCCAGAGGGGGTGAGGCAAAGAAAGAGAAGGGTCAGCCTGAGCTTCCTCTCTGACATTGGCCTCAGTGGAAGGCGTTAGGCCAGGCTGTGTGGACTGAGGACACAGAACACTCCTGCTGGAATGCCATCAGGTCAGGGGACAAGCAACTGTGTACACTGACCACAAGCACAGTAGGGAAGGGACAGGTGGAAGTCTGGAGGAGACCTTGGCCAGGATGGCATGGTCACAGAAGGCTTTTTTCCGGGAATGGCTCTGCCTGAGTCTTGAAGTACATGAGGACAAAGAACATTTGTTGTGGTCTAGCTACTTCCTGTGGGGGAAACATGGCCATGTCTGTGATGGAGCAGAAATTACTATGGGGACATACAGAAGTCCTTGGCCCCGTGGGAGTGCTGAAGAAAGAAGCAAGATGAGACAGTGCTGGCTAGGTTCACGGAAGGAGCTGTTAAACCAGACCCTCTCCAGAGTCCAGAGACAGCGCCTTCCTGCCTCCCAGCTGTCCATGGTCCTGAGAGGTGCTGTATTGAGGCGGTAGGTTATCTGAGGATGGGACTCCAGGAATGCCACTTTGATGAGCTGTCAACCCTGCTGGGTGGCCTTTGGGTGGTATAGCTGCTTGTATGCCATCTTTGCTTCTGTAAATAACCATAATCTCATTGGCTCATCAAGCTGGACTAGGATGGAATTCTTTGATCTGTTGATGTTCTATTTGGGGGTGAACAGATATTTATACATTTTAAAAAGATTCATCGGGCGGTGGTGGCCTTTAATCCCAGCACTTGGGAGGCAGAGGCAGGCGGATTTCTGAGTTCAAGGCCAGCCTGGTCTACAGAGTGAGTTCCAGGACAGCCCGGGCTACACAGAGAAACCCTGTCTCGAAAAACCAAAAAAAAAAAAAAAAAAAGAAAACAAAACAAAAAAAGATTCATATTCATTTATGTGCATGTGTGTGGGCGTACCCACCTATGCAGGTGTCACAGAGGCCAGAAGAGGTCCACAGATACACTGGAGGTGGAGTTGGAGGCTAGTGTCAGCATTCACCCAATGCGGCTGCTGGAAACAGAATTCCAGTCCCCTGAAAGATCGGCAAGCATTCTTAACCATTAGCCATCTCTCCAGCCTCTGAAAAGATAGATGCTTTTTATGTCTATTAGGAAGTCATGCAACATTCTAGGCAGGGAGACGTTGAACTGAGTGTGACAGAGCAAACTAACAGACAGGTGAGGGCAGCTAGGGACAGGATAATGTGAGGTTAGCAAAAGCAGGTCCTGTGGGCCTTTGTAGACCAAGCTAAGGAGTTTAACTCATGCTGAGGATGATGCATGTCTGTGGCAGGGTTGATTAGTTTCGTCTTCTCTCCAACACAACAGGGATGCGCCTATCTCAGGATTTTACTGGAGTGTTCTACGCTAGCTCCGTGGGCCTGTTCCTTCCTATATTTTGGGTGTCGGCACACTTTTCTATCCTTGGAGTTTGGGTCGTGTACCCCTCCTCCACCTGCTTGTTTTACTGTTTCAACAAGTCAGGTTCTGTTTGAGCTTGTTTTTCCTCACTAGTATGGGAGCTGGCCAGCAGACATCATCTGTCACTTTACGCCCCTGTCTTCCGGTGAGGAACTTGGGAACTTAGTGGATATCCGTCGAAGGGGCAAAAGCATGAGATGATAAAGGTTGAACAAAGGAGGGGCAGGGACAGATGAAACAAAAAAGCCCTTCGATGAAGAAGTATGCACGTCCACGGGGCTCTGAGGGGCAGCGATTGACCCATGGGAAGGAAATGGGCTCCCGCTTAGCCTACTCTTTTCTTTCCAACAGCACCTGGGCAGGACTCATCCTATGCCTTGCTCAGATGTATGGCAGTGGCTGGAAGAGCCGGTGACAAGGCGACATCCAAGTAGTATTCGGTTTGTGTGCTGGGGCAAGTGAAGCCTGTAAAGACTGTTCAAAACAGTACAGACTGAACCCACAGCCTCTCCTTAAGCTAACCCGAGCTGCTGCGCTCCCCACGGGAGCTGCCCCTTTATTAGCCAGCCTTTGATTCTTCCACGGAGGTCAAAGTAACTGGATCTGCTCGTTAAGACCAAAAGCACCTGCCTCCCTGATGTTGGAAGGTGTCACTGCAGGGTGGAGGACGGCGGCAGCAGGTGCTGGGTAATACCATCAGAAGAGGGCAGCGGTCCCCAAGGTGGGGGAGGCTGTGGGCACTAGCAAGCCCCTTAGTAATGCAACCGGGGCCATTCTGGGAACGTCTAAAGGCACCTGGAGGGTTCCCAAGCCGGTGGCAGGCAAGCTCGGCCTTGCCACTGACTCAGCGTACCCTCCGGCCGGCTGCTGAGTCAGGCCTGCAGCTGGGGTGCCAGGAGGCTGTGCGAGGCCCAGGAGCAACCTGAGCTGGCAAACCTGCCCTTTGGGCCAGGCTGGAGGTCGAGAGCTGCGGCCAGGAGCGAGCCGCAGAGGCTGGGCCCTGGCCGCCTGGCATTCTTCCCCTCCTCCACGGAGGGGAAGGGGAGGCCAGACGAGTAAAGCCTCGGGGTCTGAGGCGATCACAAGCGGGTTAGAGGCTTGTGGAGAGCTCCTGCCGGCGGACCCCAGCCTCAGTTTCCCCTGAGCCCCGCCCGGCGGCGCGAGGGCGGGTGACGTCACGGCGCAAAGCATTGTGGGGCGGGCGCGGCGCCGGCGACGCCATTTTCGGCGGCGGAGGGTGGCGCGAGGCTGCGGAGCGCGGGTCAGGGTGAGGATGCTGCGGGGCGGCTGCGGAGGCGCCGCTTGCTGCTGAGGCGGCTGGGCTCTGCGCGGACTCGGCCTGTGACAGCGCGACGAGCGCGGCGCTCCCGATCGGACGGTGAGTGCGCGGCCCGGTCCCCGCCCCGCCCCGGGCTCCGCGCGGCTGGTGCGCAGTGCTCCAGACGCGGCCGCGACCCCTTCCCGTCTGCATCCTCCAGGCCGAGGCTTCTGGACCTTTCCGTCCACCGCCGCATCTGCACCCGGCCCTTCCAGGCTGAGATTTTGCTCCTCCGCCCGGACCCAGACCCCTCCCCGGCCTTCCCATCCCTGTCTGCACCCTGGGGTTCCCTCTCCGTTCCGCCCGCGCCCCTCCGTGCTCCGGTCTCTTGTTACCTCTGCCTGAGCGCCAGCAGTCTGCGGTCCTTGTCCTCTCTCAGCCTGTGAACATCCAGGCTGGGGTTTCTATCCCTTCCCCGCCTGCGCCTTTCTGAGCTCGGGTCTCTTGTCACCTCTCTGCGCTCCTCCAGTCTGCGGTCCTTGTCTCTGTCTACCTGCGCCCCTGCTTTGGGTCCCTTCTCTGTCACTACCTGCGCCCCTCCTGTCTGGGGTCTTTGTCGTCATCTCTCTGCCTGCACATCCAGGCTGACGCTGTTGTCCCTTCCCCTTCCAGTTCTGGTTCGGGTTCTGTCCTGTCTCTGCCCGTGCCTCTCTGAGTTGAGGTTCTTGTCCCTTCTCTGTCTGTGACCCTCTAGGTCCGGGGCTCAGTCCTCTCTGCCTGCACTCTAGGGGTCCCTGCCCCTTCTTTTCTCCTCCACTCTTTTCCTCTGTCCCTCAGGCTTCTGTCCCATCTGTGTTCAGGGCCCCGCCCTGACTCAGGCCTGGGGCGGGGGCGGCCTTTCAATGGCAGCTGTGGGCTTAAAGACCCAAAGCCTCTCTCCGATGAGGTCCCGAAGTGGTGGTGGTGATGGCAGTGTGTGTGTTGGGGGTCAGCCGACTGGCTTTGTCTCAGGCCTCCTCGCCCTTCTAGCCCCCACCTCTCCTCGGCACCGCCCTGGGTGGCGTGCTGTCATGCTGTGGTCCGTGGCCGGTGGCCAGCCAGTCTCTTTCTTTCAGTGGCCGGGTGTGGATGGAATCGCCCTGGTGACCTGAACGTGCACAGCCTGGAGTGCTTTTCCTTGTTACATGTGGAGCCCCCTTCCCATAAAAAAAAAAATTAAGGTGTTAATAAAGTAATATTAATGTATGATTGAGTGGATGGCTTTCTAACGAAGTTTCCAGGCCATTTCCGGGTGTGTTGTGTTGGGATTGCCACTACCTGCTACTGGTACGTTATTAAGTGGTGATCTGGTGTACTTGCAAAAATGATGCTTTAAGAAGCATGAGAACAAGAAATTTATATACCATTTAAACTGCTGTGTGGTGGCTGCGTTTTTGATTCTTTGCATTACTTAAATTCCAAGGCTCTTTATACAGTATGACTAAGCCTTAGATCAGAATTAGCCAGGAATGTATTGTAATAGGACAGTGAAACCTCATTGGGAAACTAAACCAACCTTGAGCCTCCTAAGCACGTCACAGGGGTCTTCTTCCACGGACTGTTTACAAGCCTCAGTTGTTGTAGGAAATTAGACTTACTGTTCTTTGCCCTGAGTATTTGTAAGAATGCAGTGATTCTATTTAAAATTTCAGAGTGTGTGGTATGTGGGAGGGTGGGCCCCTTCCAGATCAGTAAAGAATGCAGCAGCATGCTACAGTCCAGCCTGATGCCCTTGTGGAACCAAGAGGGGTGGGACTTGGTGGTGACCTCTCTGTGGCGCCAGCATTGTAAGAGGATGGGTAGCCACCGTATAGCAGGGAGTGACAGTGCATACCTATAACCTGAACGAACACTCAGGAGGCTGAGGCAGGGGGTCCTTAGTACAAGGCTAGCCACAACTACATAGCAAAATCTCAAAACAAAAATCCAAGACAAGAAAAGTGTAGACTTGCATGCAATCTGGACAGGAAGTTTTCCTGGTGCAAAGACTGAAGAGGTGAGTTCTACACATCTTAGTTATTCCATAGTAAGTCTCCAGGCTGAAGAGGGCACTCAGGGCTGGGGTAGTAGCCTAGATCCAAAAGATCCTGTTTTCTCAGTGAAAGAACAAACAAACCAAACATTACCCACAACTTAAATGTTTATATTGAAAAAGATTAATCTATTCTTGGGGCTAGAAAGATGGCTCAGTTGTTAAGAGTAATTGTTCGCTGGGCGGTGGTGGCGCACGCCTTTAATCCCAGCACTTGGGAGGCAGAGGGAGGTGAATTTCTGAGTTCGAGGCCAGCCTGGTCTACAGAATGAGTTCCAGGACGGCCAGGACTACACAGAGAAACCCTGTCTCGGAAAAAAAAAAAGAAAAAAAAAGAAAAAGAGGGGCTGGAGAGATGGCTCAGTGGTTAAGAGCATTGACTGTTCTTCCAGAGGTCCTGAGTTCAATTCCCAGCAACCACATGGTGGCTCACAACCATCTGTAACGGGATCTGATGCCCTCTTCTGGTGTGTGTGAAGGCAGCTACAGTGTACTCATATAAATAAATAAATTTAAAAAAAAAAAAGAAGAAAGAAAAGCCAGAAGTGACTTAGTTCTTAGTTGAGTGACGACCAGAAATCAGATTATGCCACAAGAAAATGACTGCCAAGCTGAGTAAGATAATGTCAGGTTTTAGAGCATAGAGTAAAAATGTTTAAGACTGGGCATGGTGGCACAGGCGTTCTGAAGGGTGGGGCAGAAGGATTTGGAGGCCAGCTTGTGCTACATAGAGTTTCCCTCAAAGTAAGTAAAAAACAAAAAGAATGAAGATGTCCGATTGAGACTGGAAGTGTGGGCTCGAGGGATTGTTGAGTGGTGAAAATCCACCATACAGCACTACTGTTAGGGATCATGGCCTGGATGGTTCCCAAAAGAGCTCAGACCCAGCGTGGGTGCTGAGGGGGCCGCTTCTTGGACACTCAGAGGCAAGTGCAGGTCGGCCGGCTTGGCATTTAGAGAAGGAAGGTAAGGGCGGGTGTGGGTGGCGCTGTGCTCGGGTGAGCTAGTTAGGAAGTTCCCACCTTAGTCTCAGGAGGCTAAGTTAGGACTGTGGCTGGAGGTGCAGAAGAGCGGCTGATGGGTCTGTGGGAGCTATGATGCAGTAGTCTGGGGAGGGGCAGGAGGGTGAGGGTTTGGGGGACTCCAGCCTGTGCACACCATGCCAGTGGACCATGAGTCAGCTACTAATGCTCTCCGTATTGTCCTGCTCCGTCTCCCTGGCTGCTCTGACTAGTGTGCAGCCAGGTGCCACCGAGCTGAGTTAAAGACTGAGGTTCTGCCCCATCCTGCTGACCTTTCTCGGTAGTGCCACCTACAGACAGTGCTGCGCTTTGTTTATTATTAAAAAGTTTCTGTGTATTAGTGTTTGTCTTCATGCATGTATGTGCACTCTGTATACCTGGTGCCCAAGGCAACCAGAAAAGGCTCCCTTGGAACTGAAGGTACAAACGGTCCTGAGGTGGGAACTGAACCTAGGTCCTCTGTAATGCAGCGTTGCTCTTTACTGCTGCGTTACGGCAGCCCTGGCTTCCCTTCTCTTACTCGGTTTACTCTCTATCTGCTCATACAGTCCTCATCTCCCCGAGGGTGGGGGAGCCATCCCTGCCTTCCTGATCAGTGCTTGGTGCACAGTCAGCACTTACTAAGTGTTTGCTGAAGGAAGGCGTTTAGAAGAGCGTCTTTGGTTTTTGGTGACTCACTGGCTGGTGACACCCACCCTGTTACAGAGAATGGAGAGAGGGCAAGATGATGTTTACTTTCGGATGTGATAAATTCCAGGTGCTTGTGGGAGGCCCAGTGAGCTAGTTAGAGATGCAAGCCTGGGGCTCAGACACAGGCTAAGGCTGGAGATGGCGATGGAAGAGTGAATCAGCATTCCAGACAGGGCCAGCTGTGCCATCAGGCTGACTGCCTTGTGGAGACCGAAGGGCCCCTACGGACAGTGCTCCGTGACTCTGGGAGAAGAGGATTCTGGAGACCAGCTGGACTGGAAAGTCTTGTGAATTTGGCCTCTAGGAGTTACTGCTGACTCTTCTGGGTTTTGCTGGGGCTCCCCCCAGCCCCCTTGCACCACATATCAGGAGCTGAGGTACTTGGTATGAGGTACAAGAGCCAGTCTACTTGCTGACAGGGCATCCTGATGTCAGTCTGGGCTGTTGCTTCCTCACGAGGGCCAAGCGTGATGGTGCACACCTTTAATCCCACCACTAGCGAGGCAGAGGCAGTTTGTGAGTTTGTGAGTTTGTGGCCAGACTGGTCCTCAGAGTGAGTTCAGAGGACAGCCAGAGGGTTATATGTAGGGAGACCCTGTCTCAAGCAAGCAAACAAAAAACCTGAAGTAGTTAGTGGGTCAGAATGCTCTGTGGTCCAGTGTGGTGGTGTACTCTATACCTCCAGCCCTTAAGAAGCTGAGGCAGGGTCTGGTGAGATGGCTCAGTGGTTAAGAGCACTGACTGCTCTTTCAGAGGTCCTGAGTTCAAATCCCACCAACCACATGGTGGCTCACAACCATCAGTAATGAGATCTGATGCTAAACCTTTGGGCAGGATTGAGCGGGGCTGGAGTGAGTAGGGCTAGAGCAAGAGAGAGAAGGGAAGGCGTGGGGGGGGCGGGGAAGAAGCTGAGGCAGAAGACTGAGTGCTGGGCTAGCCTAGATTACATCACAGCAAGGCTGTGTCTCAGGGACTGAGCATGCCTGGGTGTGTAGCTCAGTGTTGAGCTCTGACCTGTAATGTACAAGTCCTGGGGTCAATCTCTGGCACTTCACTCTAATAAATAAAAACCTCCAACAAGTTCAAAAATTGACTTGTAGTTTTGTTTTTACTAATATTTGGAGGTAAAAGTGGTTCATGTTTTTTAGATTTAGACAATGAATAACAGTGGAATAAGCCTTTTGAGGGAATGGTATATGTATGAATGAAATGATTTCTTTGGTTCTAAAATATTCCCATGCTTCTGGGCTCTTTTGTTTAAGATAGGGTATCAGTATGTGGCCCTGGCTAACCTACAGCTCAACTTGTGTGGGCCAGGCTAGCCTGGAACTCAGAGA